ATTAGCACAGAGTTGTTTTGGGAATGACAGGAGTGTGGATTTTCTCTGTCAATATATTATAACGAGTGATTCCTAGGTGAGCAGTGTGGGAAGAAGGAACTGTCAGAGGAAATATATGAAAAAAAGCATTTTATGTTACTGTATTTTGGAAATTAACTGTATTCTTTTACCCGTTGGGGTTTGTTTTCAGAGAAAAGTAATAAGAAAAAAACAAAACTCAAACTTAAAAGACTAAAATTGTTCTCTGCTTTTCTAAGACAGCAAAACTGATGTCTCTCTTGCTACTTCTCCTATGGGATGTAGCAGTAGCTGCAGATTGGTATAAGCAAATTATTCAGTCCTGAACTGAGGGATTGCTTGCTTACCATTTCAATTACTATTAAAGCTAGAGGGAAATACAATGCATACAGGATACATAATTCTAAGTCCCAGGTTCCTTCAGAAATATGTCAGCATTTCAAGTTTCTTAAACAGAGCTTATTTTGTCCCATTCATTCCAGAACATTTAAATCAGTGAAACGTTCTGCTTAAAATAAGCCGCTGTGATATTTTTAATAGAGAAGATTCCGTGTTTGAAGCTACAGTCATTAAATGTTAATATAATAGTTAAAAATGAATGCATTAAAGAACCATGATCAAACAATTATATTTCACTTTATAGATTCAACTAATTAGTCTATCAATTGAAAATTAATTATTTTGTATTTAATTGCAGGTCATTTAACATATTTTTTCACTAGGAATTTGCTAGTCAAGTATCTTGTTAGATTCGCTTTGACTATAGTTCATTCAATAAGTTTCAATACAAGTGGATTATTTTAGAAATACAAGTTGATTACTTTAGAAAAGACATGTTGCTTCCCAGAGCACTTTCCTGCTGAAAGTGTCTTGGCTTTTATCCTGGAAACCATTTGACCACCAGAAACCATTCACAGATTTGGCTTTTTCACCTGACCAAACTAAGACCATCTAGAAAAAGGAGCAGCCTCTTTTTACAGCCTGTCTTTGGAAACTTAAAGTTAATTTCTTCATGCCTGATGCTGTTGGACAAAATCAAGAGGCCAGACTCTACAGACATGAAAGTTACAGTATGCTTTCTTTTTAAATTATAAAACTCAAGGTCATACTAATTCTGCTCTTCCCAAATATAAAAAATGCTTATATGTGGTTGACAGAAATATTGGTGATTTAAAATGTTTTAAAATTCTAATTTCCATACACACTCACTATGATTTTATATTTTTTGCATCTCATCATCAAATGAAATGGGAAGGATACATCAAACATGATTCTGACATAAACAGTTATTAAGCTGACATCATTAGAGTCCTGGGTAATACAATATTGATTTACTATCTGATTTCTGTTGTGGACACTTTCTTTGAGATATCCATGTGCAGGTACACTTTGTTGCCAACAGGAGGAGATGAGAGGGGCTAAACTGAGATAAGGAGAACTTTTTTTTTCTATGTGAGACTGTTTTATCAGTGCAGCAAACTAGAATTGTCCTGAGAACAATCTGTAAACATAACGATCTAATGGGGGAGATGAAACTTAGGGATGTGTGAAGATACTTTTTCTCCAGTACAAAGTGAAAAACAGAGCAACTCATAGACTAATATCCACTTTCACACATGTGCAACATCTTAAGCATTTTATTTTGTTTTTGAAACAGTCCAAATACTTTGGCTTTCTAAGTATTTTGTAATTCCTGTATCCCTGTCATTGTAATTTGTGATGAAAAATACTGTATTATCTTCATTGTAACCAAGCACTTCTTACAACCTGAGTCAATGGCAAAATCTTTTGAAGCTCAGCTTGTTGTACACGGTGCAATAGCAGCTTGTATGGCAATGAGCTTGTGAGAATCAGTGGGTCAGGCAATGAGAGAGGCTCCTGTTTTTCCTAGTAATGTGTGCTAAAAAGGAGTTATATTTTCTGATCCATCCTCAGGAACAGCGTTGGTGGCTTTGCTCTCTTTCTAGTGGATAAACATTAAAGAAATATCTAGAGGGTGCAGTGCAGTGTGAAAAAATTTAAATGTTTTAGTTTCTGTGCGAAGTTTTAAATGTAAGAAAGCCAAAGAGCTTGCAAAGCAAATCTAGCACATAGCTAGATTCTAACTTAAATATGTCTATTGACTCTGTATAAATATACAAGGCCTAACTACCTGTGTGTCCTGTTGCTCCAGAACAGCTTATTGTGGTTTTAACAGATAACAGAGATGTCCTGTAGCATATTTACACGTGATTTGAAGGGTTACGATCTGATTCCTGTACCTGACAATATTAACTGAATCGGATTTACCCACATTTAAAAATGGATTTCTAGCTAAACATTAGGCAATGTTATACAGCATGTTACCACTGAAGTATATGTGACTGCCATTTTGGATTATATCTTGTCACTGTTAGAGTAATTTTTCAGAAGCAGCAGTATTAGCTGTATTTCCTTAGAACTATAAACAGTCTTGGGGGACTGTCATCATTTTCCCTTAGCATCTAGATTGCTGTTTTTTTCATCAGACATTCTGATTATAGAACCTCTACCAGAATTAGTGCATGAAAGCTGGCTCACATATTTTTATGCGCTATTTTAGTGCAATCGCTACAAGGCATATTACTAGGCATAATCAACACAGAATTTCATTATAACTTTTCCGTATTCTCAAATTAAAAGTGTGGTTTACCATTACTCTTAATTGAGCATAATATTGAACAGACATCATCATGCTTCAGTTGTGGATTCGTACCCTCTGCGCTTAGTGTAGTGATGATGTGCCTTTAAAGTGAGTCAGTTCAGTTTGCTGATCTGTTAGAAAAGTGTATGTTTTGCCCGTGGATTTCTGTCAGATCTATAAGCTGTACCAACTCACCTTTTTGACTGCGTGATCGTTATTTAGAACAGGGGCAAAAAAAGCAGTGGGAGAGCAAGGTCCAGGGATAAGTTAGCTGAACTTTTTTTTTGGAAGCAGCCCTCAATCATGCTACATTAGGGGAAATATGACACCCTAAGATACTTTCTCCTAGTTAAATGTGCAGTTCAGCATGGCTACTCATGATGATTTTTCATTCCCTCCCCCCATAAAATCAAAATCAAGAAGAATGACTTGCAAACTTCTCGTTTGTTTGTGAGAGTTTGTCAGTCCCTCAGCCTCTAACAAAGACCAGGCATTCTATAAGCAGTAGTGTTAGTGTCTGATCTGTAATAGTCTGGGATGCAATTCTATGATTGATTTTTAAAAGTGTAATCGTGTGTTGTAGGCCCAATTTATTTAGGGTGATACCATAATCATTTCCTTGAGTAGAACAACCCTTTATGTTAACCTACTTCTGGGAATCTTGTAAGGAGCTGATGTTTAATGTCATTTATTATGACAAATAGTTGAAACTTGAGATGTGAACCATGTTCCAGTGTCATGTGTAATCTGTTCAGGAACATGTACCAACAGTTTTAATGCTTGCTGATGTTTCTGAACTGGCTGAGCTCACACAGAGCATTACAGACCTTTTAGAATAAATAACTGTTGTAGCAGAAAACCCGCTTCTTGAACTATCAACAATACTAGATTGGAATTTACTGCCAGGACCCAAAAGATGGTGACCACAATTTTCTTAAGAGTTATGGAAGATCCAGTTCTCTTAATAACATATTCCAGGGCCTGAAATCTTTGGAAAATTCATTGTTTTTTCTTATTTTCAACACTACTACCTTATAAAACAAAACAAAACAAAACAAAAAAAAACCCACCTATTTTCAAGAATCTTTCACAATTTGAAAATGTATTTTAATAGTAGGCCATGTGACTGTTATATTCTCCAATGCATACTGTGAACCAGAGATGTCCTAATATACTTTTCCCATGGATCAGTATCAAATATTGGATGAAGGTTCTATTCACAGTGTTAATCTGTAAGATCAAGATAAGTAGTATCTATTTTAGTAAATATGTCCCTTTCTGTTGTATTTTACATTCCAGATAGGTTTCAGCAAGATTGATGTTAAGGAAATGCTTCTACAAGGTAATAAAGCAGCCTAAGCTGTTATTCTAAGTTTGGGAAGAAAAAAAACACCACAAAATCCAACCATTGCCTAATCTAAAAAAAAATAATAAAAAAAATAATCTTTATTTCATACGACTGATTATATCCTGGGACCCATACATGACTGCTTCAAAAATTTCAGCTATTTTCTGTTTTGGGATGAAGTTAATAGGTGTGGTAGGCCCCCAGACACACAGTGATTTGCCAGTGCAACTGGCAACTCTCTACCAGGTTAAGATATCACTGCTGCTTTACAGTGCAGAGGTTTACAATACTGTATCCACCATGAAATCCTGTAAGGGAAGAAAGATTTTCTGACCATACACTTTGAATTATTCTTGCAATCTCATTTTCTGGAGCTGTCTGTAATAAACCAGCTTCCAAACTATGGAAATAGCAAGCTCCATGTGAGACTTATTTCATTTTGGACCTTCCGGGAATCCAAACAATAAAATTGCCTTCCAAATGAGACAGTTATAGAATCATCTTGGCAATTTCACTGGGCTTCATATTAGCCCAAACATGCTGATGAATCTAAAATGTACTCTGGTATTTTTCCAAAGGTTTTATTTTCTCACTGACTTGAAAAGTCAATATGTATGCCCAAATATCTTGCTTTTTTTTTTTTTTTTTCTTTTATACAAAAACTATTGGCATATTCAGACTGTTACTTGTAATGAGAATGTACTATGAATATTGTCCTTGATGTCCTTTCTGGCTGATCCCAGCTTGTTTCTTCTACAGATTATCTAATTTCCTTGTAGTTGTGGAGCATGCAGTAAAATTGTTCATTCAGTGAGCATGCCAGACAAGTACATTTCCTGGTCAGGTTGTGTTGCTTCAATCTGTGTAGCAGATATAAAACAAGTCACCTGCATCATTTTAACTATTGTCAAATAAATTCCAGTATGATTTTTAATACAGCTCGTATTCAGGAATCAATTCACTTCCTCATTCCGTCTGTAAAAGTCCCTTGCATGCACCTCTTGGCTTTGGGGACCGGTGATTGTGCAGAATTTCTGCAGTCTTAGCAAGTTTTGTCTCTGCTCTTCATAGGAGCTGTAAGACTGCATAGCAGCTCAATAAATGCTATAGCTTTATTTATCTCCATTCTGTTAAGTAAAGTTCCTGTCATTTTCCTAACTGTGGTGTCAACACAGGTAGCCTAATACTTGAGGAAAAGTGTTTCAGGCAGGTTGTATTGGAGTTTCTTTCATTTCTTACTGGCTTGCACGTGCTTTTGGTTTAGCCCTGTTATAACAGATACACTGGGGTCATACAATGTATTTCAGCACCAGTGCCACACATCCACTTAATCCCTTTTCTCCATGTTTTCTTAGTTTCAACCGCAGTTCCTGCTGAGAGGTGAAAGAAGTGTTTGAGCAGTATACCAGTGACAGAGAGGTGACACTGCAAGAAAAAACAAATTTTGTGTATTCATGTTTCAACAGTGATTTACATGGGACATACATCATTGCTGCACATTTCCAACAGTTTCTGGTATACGTAGGGCTCTAACTATAATTTTATAAGCTCTAAGTAATTTTATAAGCTTTTGACGCAGCAATTAAATCAACCTAGAAATAGCATGGCTTAATAAGGTTCTCTTTGTATGATCTACAAAGTGTGTGATTTAATACAAGAAAGTCTATGAAGTTTTAGAGTGTTTTTACTGTTATTATCATAAGCTATTTCCTATTGATTTGATAATAGAAAATGAATACTTAATACTCACTTAGTGTTACAAAGTGCTTTACAAAACTAATTAATTTACACTTCATTAGTTAATTCTTTTTAACACAGACTTAATGATCATTTAGACACAGTAAGATCCAAAGTATTTTCAGTTTCCATAGCACAATATTTGTATTGTAGTTCAGGAGTAGTTAAGGATGAATTTAAACATCATGTTTGTTTTCAGCCCATTACTTGATGCTGCAAGCATGTGTTCACCTAATCATTTGTTGTTGTTAAGTGAAATCAGTAGGACCACTTATTAAATGAATAATATGTTTTAAGATCAATATAAGCAGTAACTGATACATGAATAATGTAATCTAATGCAGCCCCTGGATAATTTTCATACCCAAGATGCAGAATTTTGCTCATACTACATGCATAGGCTTTCCTTTCCCCCTCATCCTCCTTTTCTTTTTTTTTTTTTTTTTTCTTCCTTTCCAATTCAGCTAGAATGGAAAGAATTGCCATGCTGAAGACTATCAAGCACAGTATCCAGTTCCTAGGAGATGCCAGCTACAGATGCTATAACAGAACATTCAACACAATAATTAGGACAATCTGCATTTTTCCTCTGATGCCCAATAATTAGCAATTGTCTTTAGCCACAAAGTAACTGGCATTTAGACCCAGTTTTTACATCCATTCTAAATCTTCCTTTCTTAATTCACACTATAACGGAACATTCCTGTAATTAATACAAAGTGCAATCCCTTTTAAATCTTCCAAGTCGTGTTTACTGGCAGTTCTTCTTGAAGTCTGTTTCTGTGTTGTACCTTTCATAAGACTGCAATTAGTTTTTTTTTTCAGTTTTGACTGCCTTGTTCTTATCTTCTGAGACAAAGAGAACAGAAGTTCTTCCTTCATTGTTTATATTTCTTAGCATCTCCTTTGTGATTAATCTTTTTCCAAATCAATAGTCTTGGTATTTTTAGTATCTGTAAATATACCATTCCTAGATTTCACTCCTCATTTTTTTTTTAAATCAACTGACTAATGATGAACAAGATTAATGACAATCACATTGCCAATTTTTAGACATCTGTCTGAATTTGAAATGTTGGTTCCCCCCAAAATCGGAGGGTTACAATGAATACAGAAGTTAGAAGCTTAAAATTCATTGTGTTAATAAGGGACAGAATAATGATTCTGTATTTTTTAATGGTTCTTAAATATATTCCTAGATTCCTCTTATCTAATTTCTTTTGATTTTTGGATTGCAGCAATATTTTCCAAGAGACTGTATTTAGGTATCTATGATGCAGCCCAGTTAAGTAGGATGTTGTATCATGCCATAGGTTTACTTGTAAGGAAAATATTTTGTGCTTATTTCATTTCCACATAATAAAGAAGCTCTTTCTCTTTTAACATACAGTTTTTTTCAAACACGAATTTACTGTCATAAAAAGGTAATTTTATTTTTTTGCTTAAACATTTGTTTGCAAATTCTAATGTAGGTTGTTTCTACTACATAGAACATATTTACTAACATTTTGAATGGGAACATCTAAATAAAATGTTCTTTGTTAAAGTATTTAATCTGAATGTTATTAAATTTATATGAAATAACATACGTCTCTGAATCAGGGAAAACCCTTGATTTTAACTGCAAGGTGTCACATATTCCATCACAGGGAAAACATCCTGGATGTTTTAACTTGCTCAGTTAAGGTACATCAGTCATCCCTGCTAAAGAACATTATTTCTTTTACAAAGGTGATTTCATAAAAACTTAAAAATTAATTGCCCATGACCCTGAACCATACTGTGTCCTGGCTGGCATGGTAAACACTGTGGTTTGCAAACTGTGTTTTCCTTTTTAAAATTTTTGCAACATCAACTGTTACTGATTAAAACAGGCTAGTTCTGCCAACTGTGTAGAGCAACAGGAAAAGAGCAGTCCCCACAGTCAAACAGGCATATACATTTGCACCACTGTCTTTTAAGACACAATTAATTTATTCACACTTTCCTAAAAGCAATTAACAACAGGCAGGAGTTCTAATGAAATAATGTGATGATTCCCCACAGGGACTATTTGTAATGAACATTACAGAGTAGCAACTTCAAAGTGTTTACATTAAAACGTGATTAATTACAAAGCCATTAAGCTACATATTGGCTAAAATGTAGACCCAAATTTAGGGATATTTTAATTAAGTAATTGTGTTTATTGGTATATTCCTTGCCTAACTATAATTTTGTTGAGGGGGTTGGCTTTTTTAGGAGGGTGGTGGAACTCTTTTCTTGCAAGATCACCAGCATTCAGCTCACTTCTTGCACAAGTGTCATTTTCTACAATGTAATGGTCTAGTGAAGTGGGTTTGTATTGAAACATTTAGATGTTTCAGTTAGAGTAAATGTCTATTTATGGTAGTTACTTGGAGCTGTACAGATGAGCTCTTAAGGGAATTAACTTTCTGTTAAGGTTAAACAGAACTGTTAAACGTGCTGGTGGAAATTGAGTTTAGGGAGCTTGTTATAAAACCTGTCAAAAATTTAACAATCAGACTCTTAATTTCTGCATGGCTGAGCATTGAATCAAACATGCTCATTTGGAAAAATATTTTATAATTAAGGTTTTATCAAATGTCTGATTTTAGTTTTGCTATGTGTAACACTTTATTCCAGGTTTCTTTGGTGATTTAAATAAAACCTTTGAGATGTGGGCCTAGGATTTTTCATTGTTTAGATGTTTAGTGTGTTTAGATTTCAGAGAGTAATATGTAATCTAAGTCCTGTTTTGCAAAACAAAAAGAACTGGTAGTTGTTATAATGGTGAAATTAAAAAATATTCGGGGACCTTTAGGTAGAATAATTATGGAGAATATATGAAGTATTTTCAAAGAATTTATGCCAGAAAGTGAGGTTTATAGGAGCACATAAGTGAGTTAGAAGAAAAAAACACAGTTTGAAATCAATGAGATACATGCTTCTAAGGAATTATTTAATTATTTTCTTCAGTACTTAAGAAAGTACTTTAAAAAGAAGTACTTTAAAAAATGTTTTTAAAAAGTTTTAAAAAGTACTTTTAAAAAAATGAAATACCATTTTTTAGGAGACTCTCAGATGCTTTATAAACTATATTGTGTGATACAGTTTCATAAGTGTTGGTATCACTGAACTCAGAGAAGTATTTGACTCCTCTTGCATTAAGATATTGTTGCAATTGAAATTGTTACTTGTGTTCTAGTAACCTCAGTACTGAATGTCAGACTTTTGAGTGAGGATGTCTTGATGTTTTAGCAGATGGCTTGCAATGCCATTAAAAATACTGTCTTTAATCTGATTCACTTTTTTCCCATAGCAAGTTTTGAAATCAGTAACAATAACAATGATAAATCAGTAATCAATAACAATGATAAATGCTATCTACTGTCTCAGTATACTAAATCTGCTTTCTTGATTACATTGTCTTGCTGAAGTGCTTTGAAAGCGTGACATTTTAAGCAAGGAATAATACTGTTTTCATTATGAAATCCCCCAAATCAACATAATCAAGTAGTAATTAACATTTACATAAGGTGACTTTCCAAATCAGAATTAATTCTCTTATCTTGGATTCACAGTCTTTTTCTTTATGTAATACCCCAGCATCTCATGTGCATGAGGAAAACTAGTTTTAAGGTACTTGGAGTTATTTCTCTTGAGCACATGACACATTCACTTGCTTTTAGAACAGTTATTCAATATAGGGAACAAAAAAGCTAGTGCTAGTGAAAAATATAAATGAAATAACAATTGTGCTCTGCATTAAAGTTATAAAGACCAAGTAAATAATTTGGCCCGCATGCAATAATACATAAGAAGTGTATTATAAGAAGCAACTGATGATGATCTCAGTGTAGTAAATGAACTTAATGAGGCTATGCAGATGCATATGTGCACACTGGTGCTTTTTCCACTGAATTTATTGATCGTTGTGTTATTTGTGCAACTTCAGACATAAAAAGCTGTATTTTAAAAAATTCATAAAATCATTTATATTTTTAGAACTTTACTGATCCTAGTACTGGGAAGGTGAAAGAAGGACATAACAGTTGTGTTCATAGGCAAGCTCCTAGTTTTAGATCATCTCAGGAGAAGATGGATGGTTTCTGCTAGGACATGTTAGCTGAATGCATTGGATGATTTAGTCTATTAATTAATACTTCAAATTTAAACTTGTTTCAAATATCTGGCCACTGACTCATGTGAAACTTTTCTGTGCTTCCTTCAAGATCCTGTTTTTCATTTTCATGAAGGTACTTGGCACACTAGTCAAGTCACTTGTCAAGCTTTTGGTAAGATAAATATACCAGTTCCTTTGTAAGGCACTTTTTAACGTAATTCTTATTAAGGCTAGTTTCTTCTTTCTAATGTATTCTGTAGTCTCATAATTGTTTTGCTAAGCCAATTGTAAGAGAAATGTTGTTTATTCCAAATAAACCCAACTGAATAATTGCTGCTCTCCAGCCTTGAGCTGAGGATTAATTCCAAAGCTCCTATAATAGCTATAAAAGCACTACTACAAATTGTTGTGATAGGACTCAAGTTTTATAATTTAAACATTTGTACCTAATGGACAAGATCATAAGTGGGAAAATATATAGCAACTTTATGAATAGGATACAATGTCCTTGGTATGAAGTTAAACAGAGTTTTGAAATGAAATAAATGAGAGCATTCATTCTGTTTTATTTTATGCCCATGTGAATATAGCAAAAAAGCAGTTCATACTGCCCCTATCCATGTCTTTTCTATAGGCTACAGCTGTTAAGGAAATCATGAAAAATCACACACCCCACTCCCCAGTAACCCCATTTCTGTGTGTTTCTGATGTACTAGAAGTAGAGGGCAGTTCTGAAAAGCCTGAGTTAAGCTGTGGACATTAAAATTCCCAAATCCAGTAAATCATTTAAAACAGCCATAATGAAACAATGCCAATATAATTAAGTATAAAAACTCTGCAAATCATACATTAATTCTTCCTTTAAATTTTCTGCATCACTTTATTTAAAAAAATAAAAATAATAATAATAATAAAAAAAACCTGAGCACATCTGTTGATATAAAGTTGCTATGTATAAATTTTTGGAAAACTACTTATCTTTTAATAGCTCCATTTCCATTACATACATATTCAGATGTGTAATTATGGCAATCCAAAAACAGTCTGTATAGTGCACTATTAAATACAAGGCAGATTTTAAATAGAAACAGTAATACAGGTAGTACAGGTTATTAAAATACCTTGTTTGTGTTACTACTTAATAGAGTAGTGATAAAGCCCAACTTAAAAATTTTGATTTATATAGAAACCAAAGTTTCTGAAAGCAATATGGTAGCATTCATAAGAATTGCAACCTACTGTAGATGGTCTTTTAATATCTGAAAGTTAAAACACAGTGATTCTTGTCAAAATATTTTGAGTATTGAAATGTTTTCCACTTGTGCTCATAACACCTGAAAATTGTGTTGGCGTTTTTACTTTCTTTTAAATTCTTACTTTTTTTTTTTTTTAATCAGATTTTATTTCAGCAGTTCAAGTTCAGGGAAAAAAAAAAAAAAAGGTTTTAAAATTCAATTTATTTGCATTCCATAGGATTTATAAGAGAATGATTGTTAATTCTTCCAAACAGTCAAACAGTATAGAGAAATAAATATTTAAATCTTGAGTTTACATAAAATAACATTTGAAAATTAGAAGCAGTTTTCTTTTTGTTTTCATTTTACCTTCAATGCTTTTCTGTATTTTCTAAATTTTGGTGAAGAAAACCAGAAATGAACCAAAAGGAAAATCTCTGAATAAACGGATGTTTCAGAATCAGTAAGTATTGTTTTTTTTTTTTTTTTTTTTTTTTTTTTTTTTTTTTTTTGTTTTTGTTTTGTTGCTGTTTTTGTTGCTGTTGAACCATACATGTAGATTGTGTTTTGGTATGGCTCAAGTTATTGCACTGAAAGCTTCTTAGAGGGGGAATTACTGTTTTCTCTAGCCATTTGGGGTATTGTTCCTACTAAACAAAGATAACTTCTTGATATAAAGTAAATCTAGGGTGCTTTGAATGTTGTCCAACAGGCATTCACAACAAGCAGCAAGCTCTGACTTTCTGAATACCAGTGAATCAGTTTTGAACTGTGCCTTTGCAGTTGCAGGAGTTTGTGGAATATGTTGCACATGTCTTGAGGCATTTTTTGAGGTAAAATTTACCAATAAACAAATGAAAAGATTGTGATTGAAAATAGATGTGTCTAGATTGCATTAATTAACCTCTTCTATGACGAAAGTAATCTACAAATATGAACAGAATATTCTGTGCAATAGGACTGGAGTTACCTAGCACAGTGCTCCTGGGAAAGGGGACATTGTTCGTACAATGGCAAGGCAAACATGATATATGAATCACTTTCTTGAAGTGCGTATCTTAACTGATTACAGAGGTAGCCAAGATGACTATCATATAACAAATGTCTAACTTTTGGATGGTTCATGAATCCCTCTCCAAACAATTTATTTTAAATGGGCATATTTCATTTGAACACATTAATCTTTAAAAAATTTGGAGTCTTTATTTCCTTACTTTCTTATTGTCTCCAGAAGATGCTCATGTTTCAGCTACTTTCAATACCTAGAAAGGGATAAAATAGAGCTTTTAACTTTGCATATTAAGGGAGTATTTTGGACAAAAAGACTGAAGATTGTTCTTTCTCTGATACAAGAATGGTCCAAACATTTAATTGTCAGAATTAGACTTGGATTGTATAGATGCAATATTATTTCTATGTATGTGACTTGGAACACTTCTTAAATTGATGTAGGATATAATATATTTCTATAGTATACATATATGTGTATATATATATATGTATACTATACATATAGTATACTCAATATACATATACTTGATGATCTTGAGGTCTCTTCCAACCTAGATGATTCTGTGATTCTTTATTGCAGTATTAACTCTTCAGCTGAATGCTTTTCTTTGACACTTTCTTTGCAGAAAGCAAATTATCTCAATGGACAGAATTGCGCTACTTCCTCATAAGGTCATACACATTCAGATAGATGGTTTTAAGACATTATTTTGATTATATTTCAGAGATATAAAATCAATTTTCTATGAAGATGAGTGTATAATTAATGAATTACGTAAAAAGATAGTGGTTAATGTGTGCATAAATGGCAACACAGCAAGAGAAACTGACTTCACGCCTACCCCTTCACCTACTCATTTTAACCATTTTTGTTGTAACTATCCATGCCATTTCTTGATCTGTTTCCATATAATTATATTGAAATTATCTTTCAAATTATTCAGGCTTCTTTTCCAGAAGTCTCCGCTGTTCAGTCTTTTATGAAGCCAGTTTCTCTTCAGTCCCTGGTCATCTATTGAAGGACTTGTCCAGAACTTTTCCACGCTTAGCCAATACAGATTTTTTTTTAGGGTTATGAATTGCTAAGCTAATCAGTGACTTTAACAGAAAGTCTGAGTTTGACAAGGAGTGTTGTTGGCTTTATTCATGTTTATCTCTGCATCATCCTCAGAACTCATACTAGAAAATAGTACATGGTTACATAGTAGATATTCTAAAATACATTTCTGCTTTTTATTTCTATTGTCTTCTCTATTTTTAGATATTTCTATTTCTATAGGTCTTTTTACTGAAGCGTTATTTTATATTCAACATTGGCTTTGTCCCATTTTATGTGTACCCCATTTGTTTCTGTGTTCTCCTTCCAAAAGGAATCCATATTTCCTTCTGCCTTCTTAGTTATTGTTTCACAAGTAATAAATAGTATTCCTAAGAACATGTGTTTCCTTGCTTCTCTGTGTTTAATTTATTCTTATTAGCCAATTCCTCTGTCTATTCATAAAGCTTTATCATTTTTTTTTCCTGAAATCTCTTAGTCTCCTATAACATTTATTAGCATAAGTAGCAGCATCTGTTCTCTGTTATTAAGGCAGCTTTGGTTCAGGTATTGATACTGTGACCTGCAGTGTTCTGTAGGGCTTTATGCTTGTTTTCAGTCTGTATTGGAGTACTGAGCTTAGTAGTTTGTGAATACCTTACCCCTTAGATATCTCAGTGAATCATGGCTAATCAAACAGATTAAATCATAAAATAATTCAACAGCATGCTCTTCTTGTTTTTATATATATCGCTTTCTTCAATAGCCTCGGTGTCATTCGTCCATTTGGAAATGAAGAGCTGTATTTGTGCTATGTATGCTCAGAAAAATTAAAGCAGAACAAAGCTCTCCTAATGGGATATGTATACTTCTGAAGTTTTGAGTTACATTGTGACAAAGGAGTGCTTATTCCCTTAATAAATATTATCCCATGCAGAGAGGTTTCCTCTTTGAACTTGTGTGAATTGACTAAAGCTTTGTTACAGGTCTCTCTGGAGAACTGACATTCAGGTTGCTGACAGAATCCTATTCTACTCTCTCTTTCTCCTCTCTGGCTTATTCATGAATAATACAGTGATGTCCTGTGTAAGATAATTTATTTTCTCTTGAGAGGCTTCATTGTAGACTAATGATTCACATTATCCATAGGCCCCAGATTATCAATCGCAGTACAAACGTCTGTGCTTGAGGAAAGTTATTACCAGCTAAACGGATGAACTTTATGATCTAGAAGTACCAAATTATTAGGGTGCCCTTATTTGTGACTGGCCCTGAGTTCTGCATAGAAGCTTCAATGTCAGTTACATGCGTGTCAAGCTACAATGAATCACAATTCAAGAAAGAAATGCTTAAACCTAGGTACAACTGTAATGATAGTTTAACTGTTGCTAATATAGCTGCATTTCTGATATTGTGCGGATTGATACTAGCTCATTTTTGCAGTCACCATATTTTGGTTGTCATTCCACGTCCACAGAGACTGTTTCTGGAATCATTTACTTCATTTGAATAAAACTTGTATCTAGAGATACAAGCACCAGTGTAATGACTTTCATGCTTCCCTCATCCTAGTGAACTCTTAGGACTGTCCTTTCCCTTTCCCACCGTGTTCTCTACTGCTGAGTTGCTGTACACTTACTCTGTATGGCTATGTCCAGTCCCTTTCCACTTGCTTATTCTGTTTCCTTATCCCCACAGACAGGTGTGTAAGGACAGAAACTCTCCTCTCTCAAGAGCAACAGTGTGGAGGAAGATGGCACACCAGCTCTAAGTTCAGGTACAAGGTCCCTGATTTGACAATCCTACCACTTGTGACAAACTAGAAATACTGGACATCTGCTTCTCATAAGTTTAAATGAAAATTTCCACAAATAAGTCATACTAGATCAACAAAAACTAGCCTGATTGGGTTGTTTCAACATTTCACTATACAGTGGAATTCATCCAGCGTTTAACTCACAGAGCTGGTAATTTTGTATGTTTCCCAGTATTTCTCATTAGGAAACCTTATTTTAGCACATTTCTAATTTTGCTAGATTTAATGTTGTTTGTTTTTCTTAGAGAGGGATTCCATGAGCTTTTTGAATCTTGTTTTTATTGCTAAAATTTATGAAAATGCATCAGTTTCTAACTAGTTAAGGAAATAAAGGAAAAGGTTTTTCTTCAAAGGTAAATATTTCTATTGACCCTCCCTGGAAAAACCTTGGTGCCACTGTATTTGGAAGAGGGGTTGAAAATGTGGCAGGAAGCATGCCTTGAGTTTCTTTTCCAGTCCAAAGAAATGTAACATACGCATTTGTAAAATATGCAAGTTATGCATTCTCAGATGTTTTTCAGTTTTATTCTTTAAATATCACTTCTGCACTAGACAGTCTTCTGTCCAACCCTAAGTGGTTTTATTACTTTTGTTTACCAGTCTGCAGTAACTGCAGAGTATGATTGATACTGAAATAGGGACACTGGCTTTCCCATGCATTCGGTTATTTCAGTTAGTCCAGTGAATGTTCTTTGTAACTCTGGTTTTCATCTGTGTTGATGAAAGTATGAGGTATCAATCCATAGTCATAGAAAACTGCAGTAGATAACTGTGCTATGGATCTAAAGGTTTCATCTCTTATTACATATATCGGTCACTTAGATCATGCCACATAATGGATTTAAAAAAAAATAATTCCTAAAAGTTTGAAAGTGATTTTGCATACAAATATCTTGGATGTGATATATTCTGGTGTTATCCCGGGCATTATATAATCCTGTAAACACCTCAGTTCCCAAGTACTATTCTCCTTTAAAACAATATGTCAGTTTCTTATAATGTGTTTTAACTTGTTATTCTGTACAGTATACTTTTTGTCGCAGTGTTATCAAGTTTCTCTTTTGAGAGAAGTGGAGAAAAACAAAATAAAACTTCAGGGAGATGGGAGCCATCTGCCACTGTTCCAAAGAACACCAAGGGGATTTCATCACTTTTCTGTTTTTCAACCAATGGCAGATTGTGCTAAGTCAGGCACGTATTAATTTAAGAAATGCCAGTGTTACTGATTCATAAAGCTTTCTAAAAAATTGACTGGCCCATATTGTTTCAGAAAACATTTTCAGTGATCTATCTGAAGCAAACCATATGGACATTTCAGCTGATCAGATAGGAATCAAAAATAAACATTTGGGCAGCACACTATAAAAGCAGTTTGCCCAAATAAATATGGAGATAATTATTGACAATTACTAGAGCTGGTCAAGAACAGAATTTTATATTTTGGAAAAAACTTTTTTTCCTGCATTTATCGAAAATGGAAAAATTACAAAATGAAATAAAACCAGAATCAATCAAAATCTTTCATATCAATACACAAAAACAGTTCTGGTTTGTTTTGAACTTTCTTGATTTTCCAATGATACAGTTTTGTTAATATTCATTATAATATTAACATATTTATATCTAATATATTCCTAAAGTATATATCCAACGTATTTATATTGGATATTAATTTTTCCATGTTGGAGAAGTTAGCTTAGGTGGCTTAGGGTTTCATCACAAGGATTTTGTGATGCCATGCTTCTTTCAAAATTACTTTTTTAGACTAGCTGTGGTCCGCCTAATGCATAAATAAATAAATAATTCTGCCTCTTAGACTTGATACCTTTGTGAAGGTGCCATTTATTCTCCACTTAATTATTTCCCTTTAAAAACTGAGAATCTTTCACAAATTTTCATGAATTAGAAGCATGAGGCTAATAGGGTTTTCTGTGTATCTGATGCAGTCCCCTCCTTCCATAGACATAGCATCATGTAATACTGTTATAAACTTTAAAGGGAGCAAAGCTTTTTCTCCTTGCTATTCCTATAGGAATGCACTTACAGAACTTGCGTGTTAAAACATCTCACAGTTTCCAGGCTAAATTTATTGATTGCCAATTAAGAACCATTTGTTATTATGCTCACATTTTCTTTTAGTTCACATAGCTATCTTACGTGTTGAGCCTTCCTGCAGACATCCAGGATTCTTCTGGCCTTTTTCTTGCTAGACCGAACAAGCTCTCTGTCCTCTGCCTATGATGCTTCATTTCGGATAATGCCAGCAGCCTTACGCTTCACTTATTTCACTATGAATTCAAATTGAACATGGATGAACATAATAGTGGTAGTACACTTATTCACTGCATATACTGAAGATGTTGCAGGTATGTTTGCTTTTACTGACAATAAAAGCTGCTCTGTATAATTAAGGTAGAAAACAGCTTTTCACTCTTCACTGGTTTTAATATTAGTTAGGGGACCTCTTGTTGGAATGTTTAACTATAGGCTTCTAAAGTTATGAGAGTTCCTTAAGACTGCTTTAAATAGTTGCTTAAAAATGTATCTAAAAACAAATGAAAGGTATGGCTGCATAGTAAAGATGCATGAGATTATGTTTCCTGTATTGAAATCCATTGTTTCAGTGGAAGATTCCTAAAAATTCTACTACAAGAATTGATGTTAGCGAACAAGCGTTGTTCGTCCAAATGAAAGCTCAGGTGGAAGTGAAAGCCAAGCAAAATCCTTTTCTTTTCGTGCATCATCACCATCCATAAATATTCCATAAGCTCAGTTAGAGCCTAAGCTACACCTGTAAAGTTCATTTTGCAGTGAGGTTGCAGAACTATAAATAAGGACAGGAATGACTCTGCAATTGGTAATCCAGGTCAGATTCTCAGTGGGTATAAATCATCAGACATTACCAACTTCAGTGGAGCTCTTCTTATTCTTAATACCTGCCATGCAGTTTATATGCCTGCCAATGTTTGGTGAGAGAAAAGAGAACATAGCTCACTTTCTCATAGGCTCTTCAAGGCTCATGCAATAAAATAATGTATTGTTTTGACATTAAAGTAAAGAGATGAGATTTGGAATACAAAGCAGAGATAAGAGCAGCTGAGTAGGAAGGTGACATTCCAACAAGATCATTTTTTCTGGTGGCTCTGTATTTGCAAATTTTGATATATTATGATCTAAAGTAGATGGCTAAAGTTATCAATGCAGGATAAATTCTGCACTGCCATTGTCAGAGCAGTTATTTATGTGCCAACAAGATGCTATAACATAGAATATCAATCACAGAGTAGAATAGCTGCCAATTCTAGTCTTCATTTTTCTGTATTTTATGGAACCACTAATTCTATTCTACTTCTAGCTGAATTTCTGTGTTACTGGATTAGCATAGCTGCAATCTTGTGCTTTGTGTATGCCATATATTTGAATGAGTATATGCTGCAAACATATTATTCCTATGAAAATAAGTTTGTGATTCTGTAGAACACATTCAAAGATGAGTTGTTGGATTATAACGCTTTGTAAAACTTGCAGTATAAAAGCATAGCCAGAGCTACTCTACGCTGATTTGATTCCATATGCTAGTTTCTCCTCAGTGAGCATATCTTCCTTCTTAGGTTTCCGTCCAGCTGACAGGGATGGAACTTCCAATGCTACTTCCTTTCTACTACCTCACTGTGAGACTGAATCCTTCGTTCCTGGGTGGCAGCAGGAACCTTCTGTAAAAAACAGAGGTTTTTGTTCTCCAGCAATGAAAAAAACTGTACATAAGCTAGGTATATAATTCCATTTTTATCTGGGCATCATAGTTTTAGCAAATCAGTCTTTGAAGTATCATCAGAAGGGAAAAAAATGTCAAAGTCCAGCTCTCATAATCATTTTTTCAGTTCTCAATTAAAATTAACATTTGCCTTTCCCTCGTGAAGCTCTTTTTTATTTATTCAAGTTATTCTTGGGAATTTGATATCATTGCTGATCTTACAAAAAAAAAAAAATCTTTGTAAAAAGTAATTGAATCTATTGTTTTTGTTTTAAGTATAGTTTTATTTTTACAGGATTCACAGTCTTCACAGTCTTAAGGTGCAAGTATATCTTTGCACTGAAAAAAAAAAAAAAGCAGAGTGCATTTACTATACACTTTTAGGCAATATAAGACCAAAAGCATGTACCAGATATACTTTGAAATGAAAGCTTCTATGTGCACACACATCAGTTATATGGGATTCCAAGATCTGAACTTCATGTGGTCTTAATGCCCAACTATTCCTGAGCCTCAGCAATTATGACCAAACAATACATGACTATTCATGGAAAACAGGTTCTTACGTCTGTTAAAGGAATGTAAGGGCATGTGTAGAACTACCTCAGAATAGTAATTGAGATAATGACATATAAAAGTTTATCTTATTAAGGGCTACTGGAAGACTCTTCCAACCTAGAAATTCTGTGATTCTGTGACTCAGGTGGGCTTCCACTTTAAATCAAATCCAAGGAAATGAGTTGATCACTTCCTGAAAAGGTTAATCACCCAAGTCATTTGTACTTCCTTCCCCTTGAGGGGGAAACACAAACATTAATAATTCCTTCTGTTAACTACTTGTTCAGTATCGTTTAAATCCTTTCAACTTGCTGTGCCTATGAAAAGTACTACATCAGCAGCACTGGAGAGTAACTACAGTTTTTTTTTCCACAGTATCAGGTACAATATGGACTGCTGCACAGTAAGCTTCTGTAAGAACCATATGGCTGATTTAGAGGAGGTCATATAAATTCCTAATTAAACATACCAAAATTCAGTGAGAGACTAGGCTATGTTGCTCTTTGAAAGCACTATAAATCAGTGTACCCTTTTGTAGATTTTATTAAAGTCTAATAAATAAAAATAATCTGAAGCAAGTACGGTGCTAGAAGTGCTTCTTGCCAAAGTGAGAATAAACTATACAATTACCAAATCAGGGTAAGAATATTTTTGTATGTTAATATTGCATTATAAGCAGAGCATGATATTAGTCAAGGTGCCAGATGAATATAATCAATATTGAAACTTTTATGTAGAAGGGCAAGAATGTATTCCATTTACTTTTAAATGAAACTAAAGAATTTGATTAGAAGTCATGTTTCCAGATTATTACCTAATATCTCGAGGCTCAGACAAATGGTCACATTATCCACCTCAACGCTTAAACTGTAGAATCTGTCTAAAGTGTAAACTTTAGCTCTCAGAAAATTAGAAAGGAAATACACTTTAACTGTTAATATTACAAAACTAGAAGATGAGAAAGATGCAAAACAGTAAGTTTTAGGGGAATAATTAGTTACAAATATAGGTGAGGTAAAGGCAAATATGATACTTGATGATCCTTAAGGGTCCCTTCCAACTCAGGATATTCTATGATTCTATGATACAAGAGTGGATAGAGTTAAGGCATTTCAGGAATGTGGGTGCTTTTATTAAAGCTTAATGTTGGACATGAAGAGCTGGAGGATAAGATAAAACACAAAGTTCAACCTGCAAATGAGAAAATGTGATGTGTAACAGGGATTTATGGCAGAATAATTATCCTTGTACCTCACTTGAAAAATATTTAAAAGCTGGATGTTTCCTGGGTTTTTGACTTTTAGTCTTTCCATAGTAGCTGTTAAGCCTGGAGAGCAACATCTTATTGAATTGCTGAGAAAACTTGTTTACTTAATTTTTATCATAGCTTTTAACAAACTTCCAAAAAATTGAATGGGAAACATGGCTTAGTATCCAGTCATGTGATTCAATCACACCAAAATAAAATTTATGCTGACATCATCATACAAAAAATCCACTTTAAGCTATATATATATATATATATATTTTTTTTTTTTTCGAAATGGCCACATGCCATGAAATTCTCACATAGTCAGAAATGAAAAAGCAGTTCCTACTTCTTAGTCTGAGTCAGAAGCCTAGGGTATCACCCTGCTTTTTTAATGCAGATGCAGGTGCCAACCTATGTGAAGTCTCAGTACAAAGCCAGCTGGCACCAGACACTTGTTGACCTGCAGACCTGAGCTGGGAACTACAGGAGTCAGATCCAGAAAAATCAAAGTATTCAGTTTTAAAAGAACTTTAATGAAAATGAATCACAAACCAAATGGTGCACTATAAATATTTCAAGAAAGAAATACATAAGTAGTATAATTTTATGTTCCATTAGGAAAGAAAAGATACTTACTGCTGGAATCCTAATAAACCTTACAGTGTGAAGAAGTACTAAAACATGGAACAGCCTGTTGGGGCTAAATTATCTTTGTGCTTTAGATGTTAGATCAAGGGAATGCTTGTCTTTGTGTATCTATCTGTTTTGAAGATGGGTCCCTTTGCAAAAGTGTGAAAGTTCCTGTTATTTATTACATAGTAATAGAGTCATAAAATAGTTTGGGTTGGAAGGGACCTTTAAAGATTAGATTGGGTGTTGGACTATACAGTCACTGGCATAAAGGGTGTCCTTTTACAAATACATTAAGTGGATGCACTAAATTTACTATCTTGTTTCTAAGCAGAGGTGATCTTTGTGCTCTGCAAAAAGATCTATGTTTTTCCTGTTTCCTGCTAATTTTACAGTTGGAAAAGTCTTTTTGCTCTGTTTTTACAGCAAGTTGCATAACACAGTTTTGGTCAGTGACCAGAGCTCCTAGTTGCTGCTGAAAGTCCGTATACTTAATCCTCTTCTTATAAGTTAGCTCCGTAATAAGTTGGCAGTATTTTTTTTACTTTTTTTAGTAAATCAAACTGCATATTTATCACTAACAATGATAATAGTCATAATGAAATCTCAAAAATCTTTTCTCTGACCTCCTTGTTGGAGGTTTGAAAGTTGCAGAGTCCTACTAATAGGCAGATATAGTCAGAAATATATTATTGTCTCTAATTTTTGGCTAAAAAATATATATTTTGAAAATACAATGAACTTTTGCTAGAGAGGTGATTGTTAATATCAAGTGTTAAATTTTTAATTGCAATAATCAAATGCTTTGGCCTAGAAAAAAGTTTAACTCAGTAGTAAGAGCCCTTAAAATGTATTTATTTGAAACACATGGATTTTTTTTTTTTTTTTTGACAAAAGTACTTTTCAACAGAATTTCAGAATAAAAATGGAATTTTATCTAGTGATAGTGAATGAACAGGACTTTTAAGGTAATAGAGAACAGAAAAGCAATGTCTTTTCTGGTCATTTTCTTATTTTAAGAGAGTGATTTTAAAAAACTATGGGCTCTCAACAAAAACAAATTTTCGTTCTTAACAGGTAGCTGGAAGAATTAAAAGAAAGCATAGTAAATCTGACCATTTCCCTGTTAATTTTCTTCCATTTCAGAATCTGACTCTGTTCAATCACTGAAGTTTTTTTTAATTGAAGTTATTTGAAAGAAATGAAAAGAATTAGATATTGCAGATAGTGTTGCAGAAGTAGCACAAGATTTTTTGGGGGGACAGTGGCTGAAGAAAATAAACTGCGCACATAATTTTATATGTCCGTAGTGGTATTTGAACTTGGTATTTCAGATGCTGTGTAGATAAAACACTACATCACAGGTAGAACACAACGTTAATAGAAACAAGGTATTTTCTTAAATCTTCCTCCATAAGTGTCACCTGTGTTTTCTCTGCATGTGAACAGACAGAGGGAGAGGGAGACTGGGAGAAACTGGTCAACAAAATATCTTTCTGTTCCTGCCATTCTGTCCTGACCTGACTTACTGTTGCACTTGAACATCAAATAGTCATGTCTGTGTATCACATGCTCCTTAGAAATGATACTCTGAAAATAAAACTAGACTCTGGAGAAAGAAGAGAACAGAACTGGAGAAAACTGAGGAAAACAGAACTGATTTGGGAGGGAGGAATCTGTCAAACAATATGACATCCAAATAAAGAAGGAAATGTGCGAGTTACAAAATGGATGATGAGGGGTGAGTACAGATGTCCTGCAAGCACAACTTGTGGTAACGATGTAGCCTTTCTTTGTTAGCATTCTTTGGTCATAATAATATATATATGTGTGTATATATATATATATATATATGTATGTATAAAATCCTATTATAAAAGTTAAGGAATCAGAGAATGAAAGAGATGGGAAAGACCATGTGTTCATGTTGTGCACCTCCGTGCCTATAGAGTTACTCCCTGTTATGCACCTATCTGAATTCTTATCTAAACAATTGTGCAGTAGTCATCCATGTGTCCCATATTGCTTAGGAGGAAACCATTCTATTCTAGAGTGAAAATAATTCTGATTTTTCTTCATGGTCTCTGTTTTAATATATCACTTATCTTATTTCCATTGTCACAGTATGTACTTCCTCATATTCATGTGAATTATATTTTTCTCTTTGCTTCATGAATCATAGTTGTATGTGTGGATCATATTAGCCAGTGAGAGCTTGGTACTGAATGGACTGCATGAAACTAAGAGGCTTGTGATTAATTTAGAAATCAGAGTTCAAATTTTATTGGAATTCATCAGCTGTTTTCATTGCATGGGAAAGACAGCAAGGCAGATGGGTATCTGCATTGTTCTTTGTGTTCAGTTGTTTTATTGTAAGTTATTATATTACATAAACTAATTTAAAATTGATTTTACTCTTTGTAGAGCTAAGTGGATAGTAACTCTGGTTTATTAGATAGGTACTTAACACAATTAATGCAACGTCAGTAATTCTACATGGCCATGATTAAATGTCTTAAAATTTTCATCTCAACCCCACTATAATTAGCAGTGGGTGCAAGGCTCTCTACTTACTTATTTTTTTGTGACAAAATACAGATTGTAGGAAATAGTTTAAGATTTCTGTCTTTGTAAACTGTAGCCTCAATTTCTAAAGTGTAAAATCTCTAAAAATGATACAAAGTGGGGTTCTTAGTCAAAGATCTAGGTGAATTGCTGATATGAAATGCATTCATAGCTCAAGTCTATCCCTTACCATGTGTCTAAAGGGGAAAAAAATTAATGTAACACAGGAAGGAAAGGCAGACATTTTTTAAATGACAGACTTTATTGTGAACCTGTAGAATAATTACTAAACTACTGTTTTTTTTTTGTTTGTTTTTTAAAAGACAATTACAAATTTGTTTCCTGTTAAAGAAGGATAATATATTTTTATTACTGCTGAACTGAGTACAGCTAAATGGGTTTTGCTGAATCAGTAAGATTCAATATTCTAACTGTTGTGTTCTAAAGTAGTCTCTTTGCTTATGGGAAAAGCAAATGATAATATCTTCTAAGATAAGAAAGTTCTCTTTTTGTAGTATGAAGTAAAATAGCATTTGGCTTTATGATATATCACAAGAATCTCCCTCTTGTGTTTTGGTATTTTTGAAGCATTTGGATTAAAGAAAGTACAATCAAGAAAAGAATGTTTAATCCAAAAGGAAAATGTGTTTTGCAGAGAAAGGTCAAATGAAATTCTTTATCAGTCACTTTTTTAATGCAGCAGAATGTCTGAGATTTAGAGGAAAATCTTTACACTTTCTTGAAGAGAGAGAAGCAAATTAAAACATTATTATAGTACTTGAAGCTTTATATTAGAAGAGGAGCCACTGTTTTCAGTGCCTTGTAAGGCATTACACAACAGTTCACAGTCTATGTAGCCGTAAGATATAATAGTGTGGAGAGGACTGGGCACACGCTGATTTTCCTGGTTTCACTTGATAAGGTAGTCCCCATTCAGTGGGTTATACTACTGCTTACATGGGAGTTAATGCATGGGAAGTGGGACAGAAGGAATAACTACCTTTAAAACTACCTTTATACCTAACTATAACTACCTTTTCTGCTCTTACTGCACGAAGCTTCTTCAGAGTGGAAGCACAGAGCGTAAGAGCAGCTGTATTTTGGACATACTGCAGTGATGGAAGATGAATTTTACCATGAGGTTTGTAGTATATTTGAGTGCTGACGATATCACTGAAACTGTTGTGTGCCATATTGTGCATGTCTGTGCGTGTAAAATTGTGATTAGGATCCACAGGCTCCTAAGCAACTCAAAGCAGTGTGGTTAGGAATATGATATGAATATTGGGTTTGGGCATTGGGGATAGGATTCATCTCACTCTGCACTAAGGGGATTCACCTTTCCTTAATTTTGATGCTTAAAATGTAGAAGTTTGTGTCTGACCAGTATGTCTAGGTTCCCATGTCAATAAAATGAATCAGTTTATTCAGTGGAACCAAGACAGTTACCAAGCTAATTAGAGGTACCTGCTTTTATTATTTGGGTTGACAATAACCTTCTAAATGCTGTTGACTGGAGCCTAGCTGTTGCCCAAATGTAGCTGGGTGAGCTGAAACATTCTTGGAATCCATATTATGAGCAGTGTGTCATCTTGTGCTACCTCTTCCCCATTTTCTTAAATACTTGAATAAACTGTCTGAGCTGCACATCATTGAAACAGGGATGCAGTAGTAAACTGTAGCCTTTGAATTCTACAATCAGCTTCTTCTGCGAGTCAGCCAAGAATATAAATTACATTGACAATGTCTTTTCTTAGCAAAAGACTACCGAAGTTCAGATCTGTGTTTTTTTTTGGCAAGAATTTCTTCTGAGTTACAAGGACATTTTGAGTAACAGGGAGATACCTGAGACTACCTATAGCCAGTTACTATGAAGAAAAAGGACTATAGAATATTTTCTTTGGACAATTATAGCTTTTTAATTAAGGTGGTAAGGGATGTTGAGGAGAGGCAACTCCAACCCAACATTGCCTAGCAGAATAATTTTCGGGTCTGAAACAGCCTCAGAAGAGAGCTCCACACAGGTAATGCCTAGAAATATGAAACAGTCATGGAACTTTGCTGGTGTTTCAAGCATGTTTGAACAATAATGAACACAGCAGTCAAACACCAAACATTCACAGTTGGTGCCCTGTAGTAACCCATTTTATCCAAAGCAGAAGAATAGAATTCTACCACCTTTTCTACCCTTTTTTTTGTCGAATACTTAAGAGTAGGAGTCAGAAAGTTGTATTTATGAAAGACATCTGTGCAAATAGCTTGTCACAATTTGCAAATTCGAGCAAAATACTATACTTACAACACATAATGTTTTCTTTGTAACAAGCAAACATTTAACATGCACTGAGATCAGAGCCTCAGACTAACTAATTCAGTTAACTAAATCATTCAGTTTTCACTCAAACTCAGCAACTACAGTCTGACTTCTTTGAAAACTCCCTAATTCATAGGATACCTACATGACCCTAACGTGCAAGTATGTTCTGCTCTCTGGACTGTAGGTTTAGCTCCATCATTGCTACCCAATTTTCTAACAGAAATTAGAAATTTCAGAGAAAATGCAGAGAGATTAATTGTTATAAGAGAAATAAGTTTATCAGGTGGAAGCTTTTTTACTGGAAGCTCCTTCACTGACCTACCAAGGATAAGTCTGCATCACAAAGCACATCTTCTGACAGTAACTTTATGCTCACAAATGATTTTGTTATACATAGTAGTTGGATGATGAAAAGGACACAGTGTGGTTCTAAGTATTTTATTATTTCAGATTCTTTCCTTATATGTACAGTCCCAACTATTATATTTGTCTTAGATGGAAAAACTAATTAATTTTAATTACTGGAAGGAGTAGAGATCAATATGCACCAGTTTATTCTTCTATTAAAGGATTACCCAACTGCTGTGCAAGTTATTCAGAGGCAGCGCTGTGAGAAGTCTGACCTGAATTAATTCACATAAGAACAGGCCTTAACTAAATTATGACAGAACAGTATGAGGAATAAGTGAGAGAGAAGGTGACAGAGCTGAAAATAATCATGTTTACTGCAATGTGATGAGCAGCTTTAGACGAGTAAAATATTGTGTATTGAAAAGCAATAATAAAGGTAGAATGCTTAGGAGAATCACAGAACCACAGAATGGCTGATGCTGAAAGGGACCTCTGGAGGTCCTCTGGTCAAAATCCCAGCTCAAGAAGGGACACCTACAGCAGGTTGCCCAGGCATGTGTCCAGGTAGTTTTTGAAGATGTCTGTGGGGGGAGATCTTAAAAACCTCTCCGGGCAACCTGTTCCGGTGTTCCATCAGCTTCACAGTAAATAAGTGCTTCCTGATGGTCGGATGGAACCTCTTGTGGTTCAGTTGGTGCCCATTGCCTCTTTTCCTGGCACTGGGCACCACTGAGAAGAGCCTGGCTCCATCCTCTTTGCACCCTGCCTTTAAGTATACCTTGATAAGATCCTCTATAACCCTAATCTCCTCCAGGCTGAACACTCCCAACTCTCTCAGCCACTCTTCATAGGAGAGGTGCTCTAGACCCTTGCTCACCTTGCCGATGAAACTGCTATGGCATTTGAAGCTGTGTATTTACTTAGTTGTTTTCTATTTTTTGCCTTTAGAAATATTTGCTGTCAGAATAAAAATACCACTCCCACCCTCCAAGATCTCTAGACAACTTTTGTATTATTTTATGAATTAGTCTCTGAACATCTAATTACCTATTTTCTACTTTATTTTTCTGTTGTGGAATGGAATACCGAATATGCTAAATCTTCACTTAAATGATTTTATTAGTATTATTTTTTTTAATGTAGCTCACCATAAACCTCTGGAAAATACTCTTCAGTGTAGTGAACTGTGATTAAGAATGATTTGTCAGGAGACGTTTTGATTCAAGGCAGGAACTCCAGCAAGATCTTATTTTGAATGTGTTTTTAATGAAAAGTTTTTTTTTTTTTTTTTTTTTAAACTATATCACAGGCTCTTAATGATCTGTTAAAGTAGAATAAATTATTTTTCAAGACATTTCAAAGAAGATATTAAGCTTCTTTGTTTATTCTAAAATAAAATAGTGAATTTACAGAAAAATGCAGAGCCAGAATTGGAAAATTCCAAAATTACAGATTTCACAGCAGTTTCGCCATATTGATCCATACTGGACATTTTAGTGCTATGATACAAGGGCAAATTAAATGTCTCCAGTACTTTCTTATTAGCCCATACCCTTACACATAGTCCTACTATGATCAATTGCGTGTAAGAGTAAGTTGCCATTGCAAATGTTGCACAAAGGCTTAGCAGTGTCTCATTAAACAACATAAATGGCTTGGCAACTAATATCCCACTGACTTTTAGTGAGGCATAGGTGCCTGTTGCCTTTAAAAACCTAGGAAGATCCCAGACTAAATAGGTATCATAGATGAGCAGTTAGTCAATGGATTTAAATTGGTTTTGAGAAAAATTCCTAAATAACTTCATTCCCTGAATTAAAGCATGGTTAATGGCAGTATTTCACATTTACTTCCTTCTTTAAAGTAGTTCTTAGGCATATCAACGAGATCAACTTCTAATTGTTATGAAAAGAGTATTGAGGTCAGGCCATCATGGGTCAAATACCAGTAGGAGGTTCCTGAGAGATGGTTTTCTGCTTGTGCCTGATGAACTAATAGAGTAGTATCAGGTCTTTGCTGCAAAACATAGCCAGAAAAGATTACTTCTATTGAAGTTTCCACACCACCTCATCAACTTTCCCAGTGCAGCATGAAGGTAGCTTGCATACCTAATTTATGACTGTGGAAGTTGTTTTGATCAAAGCATTGAGTTTGTAGGTGTTTATGTCCTTCATTGGATGTAGAAATCTTGAGAATTGTTCTACTCATAAATACAATTTCATACACAATGTTGGAACTGAGTAACTGACAAACATTACTGTTAGCTTTTGTCGCCTGAATACCTTTGTGATACTCCATGCTTCACAGATTTAGCATTAATATTGGTTCCCTAATATCACTGAATTCAATGGGGCTGTGTGTTATGTAATATAATCCTTAGCGGGAAAAATATTGATATAATCTAACTCTCAGTGACAGAGCTAATGACCTTGGGAGGACCTTCACAATGACAGAATAAATCACAGTGCCTAAGTAGGGCATCAATAGCCTTCTCAAGTAGAAAACAGCATGGAAGGACCTGAGATAGCACCTACTCCACCCCACTGCCCTCAGGCAGTATCAGCTATAGTTAACAATTCCTGTGAGATGCATGCCTGACCTAACGATGGACAAGTTCAGTGACAGGAGTTCTGTTGATTAGTACTAGAATTGTAAAAATACACTGAGACCAAGCTGTCAGCCTCCACCTGAGATCAGTAGTAATGCACCCTTGATGGGATGGGAGTTTGATGTGCTCTGTTTTGTCAGGTGTTTTTCTTTCTCCACTGGCTGACAGCCAGATACAATCTCTATATTCTTCTGTTAAGTCTACTGTCTTCACTGTTTGTCTGTCAGCTCCATACATTTTGCTAAAAGTGTCCCAGTGCAGCTGTTGTATGTTGTTTTGAAATCCAATATTGCTGGCACTGTTGGGACAGCCTTCTCTTGCACATGAACTATGGTGAAATTCAATTTTCTGCTGTTATTGGAGATGTATTGGGAAAAAGTAGATGGTAATGTGGGATACATTGACTCTCTATCAACTTCTTAGAGCACTGGCACTGCAATTCCATAACTTAAATCTTCCTTTTCTTAAACTTATGGTGAATGTACCAGAGGCCTAAAGGTTCACAGTTCTGTTTTGACATGTATTCAGATGCTGTAAATATGTAGACCAAAAAATGAGCTTAGCGCTCTCTGTATTTAACATACATACATGACTTACACTCAGTGATCATGGCAGCTGGTTGAATTTTCAGTTTTCTAGTATAGGTTGGATATTGACTGGGAGGAGAATAAGAATGCTTAATTACTGTCTCTTTTTTTTTTTTTTTTTTTTTTTTTTTGGGGGGGGGACAAACAATGGAACATTCCTTTGATCATCACGTGTCTGCTCTAAAGTTTCTACTGAGAGATCTTCATTGGTGGAAAAGCAATTTATGGGATCCAAAAAGGTCTGTTCTTCCCAGATCATTCTCATTTGTGATAATCTCCAGGTAAGTATTTATAACTGGCATATGGGGTGTCTGTTTGTGTACCAAATTGAACAAAGAGTGCTCAGCGTAATTATGAATTTCTGTTATGAACAGTATAATTATGTTATAAGTAGCCATGAATCTACGTGGACATGATCCTGACTGGGTTTAAATACAGTTACTATATGCTGTGAAACTATGACAGTAAAGAAAAAGGTGAGAAAAATAAGAGGATGTTAGAAGTTTGCAGCAGTTTCAGGCTGCCAATTTTGTGATTTGGCAGCAAATCATTTTAATCATAACTGCTTTCTTAAAAGTAAGAATGTAATTTCCTTTAAAATGTAGGGGAGGATGAAGGTGACTACAAATATTTCCTCACAACTGTGTGAGATTAAAAAAAATCCTATTTGTGAATTTTGGTACTCAAGTATTTTAAAATTTGCTGTGAAGCTAATACTTTGGTATTTAAAGATAACAGTGAACATTGCTGTCATTACAGTCTTAAAAAAGGAGGTTTAGAAATGTATTGAGTTATTTCTTGCAAACTGGTTCTAGACTGTATCAGCACAGTTACCATTTTTACTTAAGCAGTTTCAAAGTAAAAACTACCATTGCAATGGCTGCAGAAATATGTGTTCACAAATACATTAATCCAGCATAGCTATGTGCACCACAGTGAGCAAAGATTCCTTGTTGTCTTGAAAATCAGTAGGCCTAGATAGCTCTTTTGGAAGAAACTAGGAATATGAGTGCTAAAGAGCTGAAAAACACACATAGTTAATTGATACCCCTTCACAGATTTTTGCAAAGACTTCAGGTACTCCTCCACCCTCCCCACCTCCCACCCCTCAAAAATAAAGCTTTTGTCCTCATGAAAATTTTCCTGTGAATTAAATGTGATATTCTACACAGCTGAAACAATGAATTTGGGTAAGCACCAAATTCCACAATCAAATTGTATCACAAACATATTCTCATATAGGAGAAATGGGCATATTTATATCTGCTTAATTCCTGTATGTGCACGTTTGTGTAGTAGGGAAGGAGTAAGAAGATTTCCCAATCATACTAAATATTCGACTGTCTACTTAGAAATATTTGTTTTTGTTGCCTGTTAAATTCTTCTTCCTTGATGTAACGTATCAGTATTGACACCCAGTGGCTAGAGACTTACCTCATGTTAATTCACTAATATGGATTCAACTCACTTTCTGCATCTTAACATATTAAGACTCTGAATTTAAGTTAGTATCTGTATATTCATGCTCACACACATACAGGCATGCAGATCTAGGCAGAGAGAAGGAGATTATCCACTTCAGATAAGAGTATTAATGATTGGAGATATTTTCAGTAACACAAAATGGCATTTGGATGTCCATCTTCTTTTAACATTCAACAGGAATTAGCCCTTGGGCTGACATTAATGCTAGTCAAAATCTCTTATATACTGTCCTTGTCTGGTTGCAATAAGTAAAGAAACATTGTTCCTGCCAGTCAAACAAGACTATTTCTTCCTAGAACTAAAAACTCCATAAGAACTACAAGTTTCATGTTAAAAGAAAAAACAAACAAAAAAACAAAAAAAAAACACAAACAAACAAACAAACAAAAACCAACTACACACAAATGCACCAAAAAAAAAAAAAAAAAAGAAAAAAAAGTATATTTATCCCGTTATTTTACACAATTCTCATGTTAGCATATATAGGGTTGGTGTTTAATATGATCAATGATCTCCTAATATTTTTATTCTCTAAACCAATATTATTGAATAAAAACTGTAGATAAATATGTTTGTAAGAACTGGGGCAATGCTTTAGAATACAGGAAGAATTTAAAGACCAAGGGCACATAAATAATAGCACTTTGCATAGATGTGATACAAGTCATCAGGTGGTGGAAGAGAAGAAGGTCTCATCTTCCTTTTGTGAGAACACTGGAACATGATAAAGAGTTGTGACCACTGCAATGGCAAGAAGAGAGGTTCTGGCCATTTTTGGGAAAAAACATTTTTTTTGTTACCCTAAGTTTTGAGCAGTATTGTATAGTTTTCTTGTTCTACTTCAAGGGCATAATATATACCTAGAAGATGACTAGTGTATACTATAGACAATATGCATAGACTATTGCATAGCAAGCCTCTAAGAACAATATTTGGTTCACAAAAGCCTGAAGCATGACTTTAAACACTTGACAGATTTTGCTTACGTTTGCGTTTAATGTGTTTGTTCAATACATGAATCCCACCTAAGAACAGTATGGTGTCTTACAAAGAGAATGTGCCATTAATCACTGTACTTTAAGCTGCATGAATTTTGGAAAACAGGAAATGTATTCTGAATATTTTTTCCTGCTATGCAATATGTTGTACATATGTATGATATGCTGTACAATCATTCCAATTAATTCTTCAGTCACTATTTTGGATTCTTCTCTAAACGAAGCTATTTTAGAATAGACCAATAATAAATCTTTTAGTCTTGCTGATAGCTTTGCTATGAACAGGCTAGGCATTGGCAAGAAAATGCATGTAATTAAAATAGTAACTGATGTGGATACCTCAGGTGACATATTCATGTCACCTGCTTAACATGAATACATTAACCCATGAATTTTTCAGTGTTGTAGAGGAAACATTACACTCAACAATTAATCATTTGTCTTGAAAATCTGATAAACCCTTAGGAAGAAGACATTGCAGTAGGCAGAATAATCTGCATAAATAAAATCCTTAGAGTGAGCATTGGTTATTACCTTTTAAGCCAAATGAAGTAAAACTACTCACTAACATGTTCCTGCAGTAAGAGAGAAATGAGCTTGCCTGTATCAAGAACCTACCGTTATAAAAAAGTTAAATAAAAAAATGAACATATGTTAGGGAAATATGAATGAATGTATAGAGACACAGTGGTTTCAAGACCTGGTTCCATATTCCAAGATCACAATATTGTTTTTTGTTTTTTGTTTTTTTTTTTTAAAATATATATATATATATATTATTTTTTTTCAGTATTAATCGGTAGAGAAATAAAAGTAAACATTCAAACACAAATAATATCTCGTGACCAAAACAGGAAGTGAAAATGCACATGACAAACAAAGAATAAGGTTGTTTGTGTCCTTCCCATTCACTGGTTGAACTATATGAAATGGTGATGGTCAACTAATACCCATGCACTGCTTATGTTTTTTAATTCTTACGTGATCATAAGTTATTATATATTACTGACATTAAAAATATATTACAAAGGTGTCTTAATTGTGTTTTGTTGTTTTTTTCTTTTTTAAATACTCTTGAGAACTATGACTCAATATCAGCTGGACAGAAGGACAGAATTTAATTTCATTTATTTTCCCTAATTGTAAAATTAAGCATTACTTTTAAATGGTTTGACTTTGAAGATGGCCCCTGAATTTCAGCCTGCCTGCTCTCTGAGTTAAAATAACTGGATTTCAGCCAAATGAAACCAGGCAATTTTCCAGAGTTTCCTATGTCTCTAGAGTTTTATAGTGGTTGAATTTTGCTCTTGGAGGGAAATGCAGACAGATTTGAGTGAAGTGTAGTGAAATTTGTGAGGATATTCCTATATCTGTCTTTTAATGTCAGCTTCAATGTCTTTATTTTAGCCTTTACACAGAACTTTAGTTTTGCCCTTGAGCCATCATGGACAGGGAACCAAGAAGTCATCTTTCATTATTTTTCTCCAGTGCTTCAAAACCAGTGTGTTCAAAATATACAGAAATATTCACCAATAGTCTTTTTTTTTTTTTCCTCCTCCATGTAATAGGTGAGTGAGAAGAACTAGTAGAGATCAACAGTTTTATCACTTTCATCACTTGTGTTCAGAACTTTCCCTGTGTCTTTTCCTCTTTTTATTTTTATTTATTTATTTATTAATGTCTCTGAAGACATTACAATGACTATGTTTTGTGTGTGGTACCCCTCACCCCCACACACTGTTCTAAAAGTATGATGCAAAATTCTTAGGTCAAAAATGCATTTTTTCCAACGATACAAATGCAACAGTCACCATTTTTAAGGTAATACCAGGCCGGAAATAAGAGCAAATACATTAAAACAGAGCCAAATATTTCACAACATGCCATTGCTGGTCCCTCTCGTGAAAGTCAGAGATTTAAATCTCCTGTTTCAAGGCAAAAATGCACACAACTGGTTTTTTCAATATGAAGCCTATTTTCAAGTGTGACCATGCTACCATTCCTTGGAATTAGAAGGTAGTGTTATTTTCATGATTATTATATTTTTTTGGCTTTTCATTCTATCTGCTCCATAATATAATTAGGACCATATCTAATAGCAGCAAGACGAGTCTGCAAACCCTGTTGTGCCAAATATGCAGAACTGAGCACTGCGTGGGATATGTAATTGCTGAGCACTCTAAAGAGCATTCACTGCTTGACTCCAAACTGGGAGGGGCTGCAAGCAAATTGGAAGACTAGAGTTGAATTCATAATGATCTGGACAAGTAGGAAAACAAATCTGAAAAATACTGAAGGTAATTCAATGAAAACAAGCGCAAAACATCATGCTTTTTAAGATTGGAATAATTGACTGCACAAGTAGAAGATGGGGCATACCTGGCTTGGCAATAGTTTTGTAGAATCATAGAATGGCTTGGGTTGGCAGGGACCTTAAAGACCACCTGGTTCCAACCCCCCTGCCATGGGCAAGGATGCCACCCACTAGACCCGGTTGCCCAAAGCCCCATCCAGTCTGACCTCAAACACTTCCAGGGATGGGACATCCACAGCTTCTCAGGGCAACTTGTTCCAGTGCTTCCCTCTGTGTGAAGAATTTCCTCCTAGTGTCTAATCTAAATATCCCCTCTTTTAGTTTAAAACTGTTTCCCCTTGTGCTATCATAATCTGCCCATGTAAAAAGTAACTCTCCATCTTTTTCATAAGCTCCCCTTAAGTACTGAAAGGCCATAAAAGTGGCCACAGAAGTATTGAAACTCCCCGGAGCTTTCTCTTCTCCAGGCTGAACAACCCTGTCAATCCATAGGAGAGGTGCTCCAGACCTTTGATCATCTGTCATTCTGTTGTAAAAAGGAAGAAAAAAGCAAACTATAATGGGTATCGTCTAGTAGTTAATATAGTTATATACTCTTTCGTACAATCTTTACAGAAGTTTCAGTGTTATCTTCAGGTGTGGGTACTAGACTGCGATAAAGAAAATAAATTTTTAAAGTTGGAGCAAGGAAAGAAGAGATTAGAGGAAAAGGGTAGATTAAAAAACAAGATCTTGGAGAAAAGATTAAAAACCCTAGGTTGTTTTGTTAAAAAAAAAAATACAGCTGCTGTACTGCAGCCAATAGAACTATTTCCTGTCAGCTGCCTCTTGAAAATCATGAGATTGCACTTACACCTGCCCAGCTTGTAATACAAAATATCTTATCTGAAGTCTTCTTTGTGGGGACCCAATGTCTGTGGCTTAAAATGGCTTCATGTACTTTCCTTCACATCTACAGAGGGCAAAGAACAGGGGAGTTATACCAGGTGAGCAGATGGGTGGGATAAACACATTACCTGAGATAAATTTAGTATTTTTTTTGTTCAGTGGATGCACCTTGTGAAGAGACAGTAAGTTTTCAGACAAAGGTTTCTGCAGAGAATATGTTAATCTCCATATTCATTGTTATGTGTGGGAAAACAGGAAAGGGCTTCAACTACAGCATGAAAAAATGGTTAGACATTCTGAAAAGAATCTCCTTTCCAACCATAAGGATTGTTAAGTATTGAAGTGGATGTTTCTGGGAAGGCTGTATCATCTCCATCATATACATAGGATAGTTAAGAGTACACTAGGGAAGAAGGGAATCTGTAAGGAATTGTTTAGGTGTAGCTGGTACATGAGTTTCTTTTTCTTTTTCTTTTTCTTTTTCTTTTTCTTTTTCTTTTTCTTTTTCTTTTTCTTTTTCTTTTTCTTTTTCTTTTTCTTTTTCTTTTCTTTTTCTTTTTCTTTTTCTTTCTCTTTCTCTTTCTCTTTCTCTTTCTCTTTTTCTTTTTCTTTTTCTTTTTCTTTTCTTTCTCTTTCTCTTTCTCTTTCTTTCTCTCTCTCTCTTTCTCTTGTGTTTTTTTTTTGTTGTTGTTTTTTTTTTTTTTTTTTTTTTCTGAGCCGTCTCTGTTACTAGGATTTCATTTAAAAGGAGCTATAGGATTGGATCTGCCAAAGGAAGTCTGCACTTGGAAAGAGCAACATGTTTCTTGTCTGCATATTCTCATGCACACATTAATTGTTTTAGATCAGTGAAAATGAAAAATGACACAGTAACATTTCTAAAACTTCATGGATATGTTCCAAGCCATAAAATGGCTATGGGTGTCTGATCGCATGTGAATTCTTTTAAATTAAATGTACTCACAATAAAGCAGGACAGTTGCATACATTGTGATGCAAGCGGTCCCTATTTGTATAGCTCAAAGGTGGCTTTATTAAAAGCCTATAGGACTTTCTGAATTAACAATTTTATTCCTTTTTGCTTTTAAAAGCAACTTTACTCTTAATTACATGTAGAGTAATGCAAAACAAATGCCATAAAAAATTAGCCATTGATTACTATTTTCATATTGATATACTTTTCTACTATACCCTCAAAGGAAAAAAAAATCATGTTTAGTTTCTTATGTATTTTACCAGACTAACTTTAAAAAAGACATTTAGTCAATCAATCACTGGAGTATTCTGGCACACAGACATCTAAGTAACATAATATCAGATAATAAGAAACTGACATTTATCATACTGACTGATTTTTCGAAACATTCAACTATGCCAAAACTAAGTACTATCAATCTTTACCTGATATATAGATCTTCCTGGGAACATATCCTAACACAGTAATTTCAGATGGAATCTACTACTTTCTTTTTCCTACCACTCAAGTGCTTTTATTGCCATGACTACCAACAATTTCTAACTTCCTTCAGGGTTGAATGGGAAAAGACAATATTTTGAAACTGGGCAATGTACTTCCAAACAAACACGAAGGGGAGATTTTTCCATCTTTTTAACAGTGTATACATTCAGTACATAACTTTTAGCAATACTAGTTAATAAAAGAATGACTATCCACTGATTAGAGATATATGAGAATGAGTAATTATTAATGTAAATCTGTAGGTTTATTATGAGAGAGATTTACTCTACCACTGAAACATCTGTGTAGGGAGACTGAAGTAGAAATTAATGGCTCAGTCCTGCTTAAGCTGCTGGTACATGCAACTCAAAAAAGTGGAACATTTGGGCTGGTCTTAAGTCAAGTTGGGCTATAGGCAACTGATTTAGTTCATCAAAACTGTTAGCCCAGTAGCCATTAAGATCTTACAGTTACTCAAGTTCCTATACATGCATCTCTGGGCACGCAGTGAAAGTGGTACTTTGCTGCAACTGGGTGAAAAAAGCACCACTTACCTGTTTCTAAACCCAGGTATGTCTAGGTTTCCTTTTCTTGGGGTTAGCAGGGCTTGCAGGGTCCACAGGAGAAATGCAGAGAGCTTTCGCCTGCAAAAGGCTTGTATATGCCAGACCACCTACAGCAACTTTCCACTGAGTTCCCTCTACAGCTTCACTACAACCTTTACTGGGAGCTGGGGTAAGGAAGGTCTCTGGAAACAAACACAATGTCCAAGACAATGGACAAACGGGGATATCTACTATGTTGGAAATATACTTAATTCAATTACCTACTTGAGTCTCAGCGGATATAAGAAAGAATTAGACTGTTCAATCTGTGTCAGGAAAAGTGGAAAGAAGCTGAAAAGGAAAAGAAAAAAGAGAAGAGTGGAATAAGAATGTTTAAGGATTTTTTTTGTTTGTTTTTGAGAAGATTCAAGTTTATTGTCTCCTGGACAAGTATATTAAATCCCTTGATGTTAACTCGAGTGGCTTGTGAAGGGTCAAAATGTGATTTAGAGGTGAACTTTTCCCTTTATTCAGGGTAAAGGGTGAAATTTCTGTGAGCTTGGTTTGATCAAGTCACAGATTAATATTATCAAAGATGTATCTCTGCTTCCTCTGCTTTAATTAAACTTTTGCCTTTCATGTTACAGGTGTATCAACTGTCATTAGAAGGTCATGGAAGAAGTTGGTGACAAGAAGCAATACCTACAGTTATCTGCTCTTGGGACAGAGATTTTCAGGCTAACAGGGAGTCAGCTGTGGACAAATGATTTCTCCAGAGAAATTACAGTGAGGTGCTAGATAGTTTTTGATTGGTTTTGTAGAGCAGGGTTTTGTAGAAGTGGGATAGAGTAATTCTCACTGTTTGATTAGGTTCACCTCTTTGTATTTGAAAATATTGCCTTCTGCCTGAGCATCATCCCATTCTGCTAGCAACTTATGTAGACTAAGTAAGAAGAATAGGGTTTCTGATGCCTTTTCTTTTATTGTGAAAGAATCCTGTTTATGTAGGTTTGGATCTTGTTTTGCAGTCAGCATGCTATAGGGCATACTGAGATTTAACTGCACCCCATAAATAGGACAATAAAATGCATACAAACTAGACAATTTAGGGAAAGATATAGCAAACTTATTTATGCATCCTGGCATGTCATTTCATGTGCTTCATCTTTTTGGAGCCTTCCTAGATTTACTTTTCTTTTAATGTATTACTCATTCTGGAAGTGCTATTTTTTGTGCCTTGCTTGCAGTTAATTTTAAAGGCCTATTTTTAACTTGTATGGATTGGAAAGAGAAACGAATGGGGGAACAAGGATATAAGCTCCTTTTACTCCAAGGTGAGATCTTTGAAATCCCACTAGCCATTTCTAATAAACAGCAAAAAGAAGTAATGGCAGATTTTGTCAGGATCAGCATGCAAAACACTCTTATATTTGCTTGCTGCAGATAAAAAACAGGCTAGTGAATTCAAACCAATGAAGTAATGGAAGGACAGTTGCTAAATGAAGAAATACATGAGAAATATAACAGACTGCCAAAATGAAGATAAATGTATTTGAAGGCTGAAAGAATAGAGACTAATTTCTAATTTTAAATTAGAAATGCAAATATTCATTTATGTCTAAACTATAGATTACCATTTCCAGTTACTTAGATAAATAACACAATTCATCCAGCTATTTAACAGCATCCTAGGGTGAATTGGTGATGAGTGAAGAGTGAGAGGTTCAGCTCAGCTTGCCTACAGTTTTAGAGTTTCTTCAATAAGCTTTACACAACCAGTCTGAAACTGAGAATCAGACTCTTACAGGAAAATGAAGACATCAAAAATCATTAGGCTCAACATGTAGTCTACCAGTCACTAATTGTCAGAAAAGATAGCTCTATATTCATAATGACATTAATTATTCTATAACATGAACAGAAATCTTATTCAAAAGAAGATGTAGAAAAATACATTCTATGGCAAGAGATGGATTGAGTAGGAAGCCACAGCCCTGGAAGTGGAGGAATACAGTACTTGAAGTGAAAGAGCAATGGCTTGAAAGAAATGTTGAGGGCTGATTCAGAGGCATATTTTTGCCAAATAAGATAATTTCCAATCCTGTACTTTGGATATTGTCAACTCTATTATTGATTTGTAAGGAAAGAAGATAAAACTGAATAAAAAGTTTTGTTTGATAAAATCTCTCTGAGGAGTATTAAAGTACAATCAAAGTGGTTTTGCTCTAGACCTACCTCTGATTTTAGTTGTTATATACAGCAAATAGACAGAAGGAATAAAACAGCAGTTTTTCAGGAGAAATGTCTGTTTTAATAGACTTTGTATGCTTAGCTGTATTTTTACTGTTTTGAACTTAGAAAGGACAGACTTTTGAGGATATTTCTAAAGTTTTAATTTCAATGAATTATTATTATTTTGATGAAGTTTTTTTTTTTTTTTTTTTGGTAAGAACCAGTTACATTAACTGGATCATAAACTCATTTCTTGGAAGGGGTGATTTTTCAGACTATGGTTTTGGTAGCAAAAAATTGAGCAGTTAAAAACATCCACAGTAACCAGGTAATATATAATACTAAACCAAATGAACAAAATCTAAAAGCTGGTTTATACACTGAAGTAATTAGAATAGTTCAGTAAGAGGTAAAGCAGAATAAAATTCCTAACAGTAGCAGTAGTTGCAAATTGCCTATCTAAACTTTAATAGAATAAATCATGGTAACTGAATATTTTCTCAATTAACTTTACCCCCTTTTCCCAAATTGTAAGAGAAGGGGGGAAATGCTTACTGAAAGCCTAGCATAGTACCATGTGAAATTAAGCAAAAGGTGAGAAAAGAAACAGAAATAGTGAATCTGTCTTATAATATGTTCCACAAACCATGATCCTGGGACAGTAAGAGTCTGGGTTTCAGGCCTAATTTTCAATTTCTGTGGAGGACATGAGAACTCAACATATGGCTTTTCTTTCTCAAAGCCCCATGAAACTTTTAAAATTAGAAAGGAAAATTAGTCATTTTGAAGGACAACGATAAATTAGAGACTGTTCATCTTTTTTCTAGCTGTAGCTGACAAGCAGTGGTGAGAGTTACAAAAGATCTCTTTGTACAGTCAGTCTTGCTTCCTGGATGCACAAATTCTTTAGACTCCTTAACACTAGGAATACAAGTATGGACTTTTTTGTAGGAACTGGTAGATACAAGTAGATATAAAGGGCAGGGGGATGGTAGATACAGACCAAAATTTTTTAGGGAATTGGAGTCAGCTACACAAAGTTAAAATTCTGCAAAATGTTGGTGATATTTTGGTGAATTTTGGTTACTGTTGTCCAAAATGCCTTTCAGTCTCTCTCTTCTGTCCTTTGACTATTGTACTTGTATTAAACTGTAATATCTCCATCCTTAATAAAAGGTTATTTGTAGAAGTAATATGTGGTTGAATTTTTTTAATGACTTGGGTGCCACCTGGATTAATTACAACATGAAGGAATATTCTGGATCAGAAGGTCTTATACAGAAATCAGAAATCTAATCTGATAGTAACTTGTTTGTTCCTTGGGTTCATAATTTTATGTTTTCTGATTTTAATAGTAACATGCACTAGTAACAGAAATCACTATCACTTATCCCAATGGCAATGGATCGATGGAAAATGTGACCACAATATCATTCAGTATGAAAGCCAAACTGTGAGTATTTGATTGTTATGCAAGAAAAGAGAAGAAATAAAATGAGGGAGTAAAAAACTAAAACTTGAAAAGGGAAGAAATGAAATGCTAAAACTTGCAGAAGGAGGCTGGTGTAACGTGTCAGGGAAAGAAGATGCCTTTCTCATCTTTTTTTAGCCTGCTGAGGCTTGGTCATGATCTGGCCTACTAGAATTGAGTGTTATTTGTGCAAGCTAAGTAATAAATCTGTCAGTAGAATTTTTCTTTAATAAAGGTAATTTACCATGTGTTTGAAACATAAACACAGAAGAAAGTATAAGACATAAAAGGATAGAAATCTGAATTAGAGCTTGATCTGAAGTGTATTAGATATACCTGCTGAATTCAGAAAATTAGGGACTAGACCCATATGCTAACCTGAATAGACTCTGAATTCACTTGAACAGAGTTCTGTTGTGAAAGAAATGACCCCATCAACATGATACATGTATATGCCAGGCTGCAGAGCTTATACATTAGGATGAAATTCAGTGATGTTTTTTCAGAGATGCAGCTCATTACTCACACCCATGGAGTGGCCCTTGGGATGGTTCTGAACACCCCTAGGAGTTTTATAAATTAGTGCACTCTGTCTCTGCCTACAGGCCAGCAGCACTGCCCAGATCTCTGTAGAGCTACCTGCTACGGTCTTGTTTTTGAAAAACTGTCCCATTCTGTCTCATCTCAGGCATATTCCTTTACATAGGGCTTGTGAGGGAGTTCTTAGAGAACCACTATCATCTGTCTATCTCATCAGTACTTTATGCCAAACCAATAATTTTAGTTAGTTGAAAATGATGAACAAAAGCCTCATCCCAGGAGAACAGTTTTGATACCTTCACATATAAGGAGAAAAACTGAATGATACTGGTGTATTCGTACAGCAAAGAATAACTGTTTCTGAATAACTTATCAAATAAGATATAAATACTTAAAATACAATTGTGTAGCAGATAGTAGAATGGTTCATGTTGCAAGACTAGAAACCTTGACACTTCGAGTTTAAGCTCTTGAAGAACTTGTATGTGAATGATCTGGTGAGATCATACAAACTGCAAACAGATCTAGGTCTCATATAGCCACAGTTGAATAGTAACATTAACACTGCTGTGGAGTGCTGTTCTCAAAATTCTCTGCACCTCTTGGAAGAGAAAGCAATCATTGTAAGAGACTTTGAGCTGTAGACTCGACTGGGGTCTTGTTAAACATTTATTTCCCAGGCTATCATGATAGATACTATCAATACCTTTTGGAAAGATTTTCTGTTTGTTGTGTGATATGAGCATCATGGACTTGTCAAATCAGGCTGCAAATAACATGATGGTAACAAATATCCAGTGCCTCCACAACTGATTTCATTTCCCCATTTCCTTTCTATTTACTTTTGAGAAAAAATAATAACAATAATACATACATACATATATATATATATATATATGCATATATATATAGAGAGAGAGAGAGACAGAGAGAGAACAGGCAAGTTATTCCTTCACAGGAATTTCAGTTCACAAATTCTGTAATTCCTGCTAACGGCTGTGAGATAGTAGGAGAGAAGAATCAATATTTAAAAGAATATATCATTCAGAACTGCTAAAAACTTCCTGTCTGTATATTTTTCCTACCTGACAAAAATTTGCTTTCTACAGTTTAAAAACATTGTTCTGAAACTTTCTTAGAAAACCTATGGACTCTAGGAGATTGAGAAATGTATAGGAAAAACAACTATTACAGGCTTCTCTTTGGGGCTCAGACATTCAAATTGATCTTATCAGCAACTATGAAATACTACTTGAGAGTATCTTGAGGTAGCATAGTATTGTGTCTTCATAGTGTTGGAAGAAAATACCCAGATCACAGATTATCTCAATTAGTCCTGAGACATAAACGCTAAGTATGATCATTGAGAGAGAAGTACTGAACATCTGGTATCTTGTCATAATGGTATCATTAGCTATGAAAATTACATGAGGATATTATGAAGTATATAGCACCAAAAATATTGAATGTTTAAAAGACAAACTTTGAAGGAATGGATGGAAGAGACTGATTAGAACAACCTGCTGTTTACTGTGGAATGTTAGAGATGCTTATGAAATAGGGAGAAGAAATCACATTTATTTCAATAAAAATAAGGATAAAAATTTTATCTGATGTGGCTAGAAAGAAATATAGGAATAGTTAAAAATGATAAAATTAAAAATCACATTTATTTCAATAAAAATAAGGATAAAAATTTTATCTGATGTGGCTAGAAAGAAATATAGGAATAGTTAAAAATGATAAAATTAAGTATGTAAAAGGTGCAGAGTATCTCGTACATAGCAAGGTAGGACAGAACATTAAAAAACTGCAAAGATGGAAAAATAGTAATGTATTACTACTCTATTTTATCATCACAAAGTAGCTTTATCATAAATGTTTTTCTCCTAAAAATAATCTAGCAAGATAATAAAAATATTATAATACTTTTTTGTTTTTTCAAAGAGTGAAGAAACAAGAGAAAAAACAATAAAGATTAGTTCACACTCAATGAACAGATAGTTGTCAAAAATAACTTCCAAATTGGCATGAACATCTATTTATCTCTTTATATCTAGAGTGAAATATTTGGAAATGGTAATACAGAAATTATGGAGGTCCTGCAGTGCTATTGCTGGTAATTGAAATCTGGTAATTTTTATAACCCAACCCTAAGAAATTGCAAAATGTTATATGTAAGGGCACCCTTTGTAATATTCTTTGAGGGGACTCGAAACAAAAATGAGAAATCCATTAGTTTCAATGCAACTGTGGGTTTTGTTAACTGAGCTGGAGGTCATGGGATAAATAAAACGTTACATGTGAAGACAGAGAATTCTTTGGAGCTGAGCTGTAGATAGGAGAACTCAGGTTACATTTTAAAACCTATGTAAATCACTTAAAGACATTAGCACCAAAACAACACAATAATTAAGCAGCAGCCAATGGGAAAACATGAGACAACAATGTTGATTCTCAGTCCCAGAAGTGATTTGGGCCCTTTGGACTGTATTTTCTATATGTATTTTCCATAAAACAGGTGAAGTAAATTTTTTTTTTTTTTTGGAAGAGTCTACTGACTTTCAGCAGAAGTTAGACACTTGAAATACATTTCAGTACCATAGGTGAACCATTTAGAAGCAAAAATGGAATTTTAGCAATGTTTTCTTTAGGAAGATGGCACTTAATTGCTTCTTTTTCCTTGGAAAGATATCATTCTCTTTGTGAAAGAAACTTATGCCTAAGGATGCTTCAGTGTATGTTTCCTTATAATCAGTATATATATATTCAGTATATATTTTCTGATAATCTGTATCTCAAAGGCAGATAGGGTATCAGAAAAGTTGTTTCATGGGAAAAATAATGCATAAAATGAGGGAAGGTGCAGCATCATAATGAAGCAATTATTTCGTAAATACAATGTCTGTAAATGGGGAAAAGTGATATTGCAATGGTGGAGATGCTGAGCTCATTTTATCTATTTACTGGAAAGAACAAAATAAAAGTACAGTGAGCAAAATATTCATGTTTTCAAACTGGGTAACAGAACAAATAATGAGAAAAATCCTATCATATCTAGAGGGATTAAGATAATTTATCTTCTCTCTTTCCTTTATGCCAATAAATTATTCTGCTGTGTGTCCCGAGTACTAAAGGTGAAGTTTGGCGAGATTTCAAAAATTGATTTCTCTGTACTTCATCATGCTTTCAGATCTCTTTAATGACAACTTCTTAGATCAAAGTCAATTGGACTCTTCTGACTGTCTAAAATAAGATGGTAGCTGAAGTGTTTTACAGAGACATAACCAATGCTTTCAGTGAGTATGTCACTAGTTTGTCCTACTTTTTTACAAATTAAGATTTCTGCTTATAAGAATGACCACATTATTATCATTTCTGAAGTATGTTCTATATATACAAGAAATCAGCCAGTGTATGAAAACCTGTTATCATCAGAAAAAAATAAAATCATTTTTGCTAATTTCCTTTTTTAACACTAGGTACCTACCCTATGTATCAGTATAATTTTCTGATTTTTCAAGAAAGAGGATGAAAATTTTTTAATCTCTGAAGGTGGTGAAGGTGGTATTACATTACAAGGTTGGAAAAAAAAAAAAAAAAAAAAAGTCCTTCAAAAATTGCCCTCTGAAAAACAGCTGCATCACAACTAAAAAAAAAAATAATCTTCCGTAAGGATGCTCACACCCTCAAATATTATTTCACATTACATTGGCTGTGCTAGAAACCTTTTCCTTACCAAAGGCATTTCCATGTTTTCACTTTCTCATACATATCAGATAAAGATTTAATTACATTGTGATTTATGCTTTTTAGGAGAGTCTTGATTTAGAGGGGAAAAATAAAACCTCAGGCTATCATCGTTGCCAAAACCAGCGACAGTTCATATTCAGAGAAGTGCTGTCATCTGTACAGTCACTGAGTGCTTCTAGTCAGACTTATTTGCCAAAATGTACCTAACTGGCCTGAGATGTTGGGATCCAGGAATCTATTTCAACATTTGCAAACCTATTCAAAATTCTGACTGATTGGTTACAAGTAGGTGAAATTCTGTGTTTCACACCTGCATGTTATTAGAGCTTTCTCCACTGACACAGCAAGGGAAGTTAGGCAGGCTCATAGGCTAACATACTTCAAATGCAATGCAGTTCAAAACAGATCTGTGTGAGATGTAGGAGTTTTAAAGTATCGTTGGCAGTCTGGGCTTCGAATCCTTATTATTTGGCAATTTCTGTTCTATTATGTCGCTAGAGCCAGCCATGTCTGGCTTATTACATGAAAGCTGGCAGCTTTTAATGAGTGCTCCAATCAGAATGGCAGCTGCTACTCAGCAATTGGGGCTCCAGTATTGTCCAGCTGGGTATATTACACATTTTTACGCTTTTCTATGTAGCATGTTTGCTGGAATGAATTTCCCTTGCTGCATTGCCCTGCCAGAACCCATTCTTATGACAAAATTTCTAGTACCTGGCATTACAGTTTCTCAGGAAATGTAAGTCTTAAAGCAAAATCTGAATATTTGATCATGGAAATACAAGACAGATGATCTACATAAGAGGGAATAAAGTGGTTGAAAGGAAAGGCTAATTCCATTCATGTGTGATCTTTACATAACTTTCCAAAACCAGCAACATGGTGAGAAGAAAATTGCTGAGTTGCTTGCTGAGAGGTAATTGCAATTCTAGATTTTTTCATCACTTTTGGAAAAAGCCAAAATTATTTGCTAATAACTAGTACAGAAATAGTGTCTGAAAGGCATCAACATCAACAGACAATGCTGTCTCTGCTGGTACATAGTGAAAGTAAGATGTGGCATTCCAGGTACCTGTGCATTCTAGGGTTCACAGTCAAACTTCAGTTATTTAATTATCTTAAAACTATGAAATCTTCAGCTGGGTTCCCTTCTTTTTATACTACATTTCTTGTAGGTATACTGGAGATCATATGAACTGAGTCACAAAAAAACTGATTTTTTTGTAACTCAGGTGTACATGTGGGTTTTACCTGTCTTCTAGTGTAAGACTGAAAGCATGTTCCTAGGAAATGTTGAGATAATAACTCATCATGTTGTACTAGTGCCTACTAAACAGCTGATATGTTTCTAAACAGAGGTGGCTACAGTGGCGAAGTGAAATCCATTGCTTTGGTGAAATGATCCCCAAAGTTTGATAATTAATGTTATTGTAGCTTTGCATGATCTTTTGCTTTTCTTTGGGACAAAATGCTATACAGATTTAAAAGGTTAGTACTATCTATTAACAAGGCACTTGTTTTTTAGCACTGAAATTGTCCCAAAGCAAAGCAGAAGTTAAGAGAGACAGTGAGATGCAGATGAATGAAGACACTTTCCCCCGTCTCTCTTGTCATGGCTTCCTTTTCTGTTTCTCCTTTTCCTTTGGCGATAACACTTTATTTTCTTGGTCTGGGAATTTGTAAAGGAAAAAGGGAAGCACAATGTAGGCTGGAAAAGTAATTAACTACATAAAAATGAACCAAACCCATCATCTCTATCATTGCTTCCATTTTAGACAATATTTATTTTAGGTAGAAACAGCGTGATATGGAGAAAAAAAGAGCAAATATTAGCATAGTAAAATCAGTTCTAGGGGAAGATTAATAAAACCTTTATCTCCAGACCTCACCTCTGTGACAGGATTAATTTAAACATTACAGCTTAGCAGTGCTATTTGCTTGATGACAACAATCACAGATGTCTCCAGGGCTAAATATAGTAGTAGAACTAGTTATTTTCATTTATTTACTGAAATCATAATAAAAATATGTTTTTATTAACTTTT